AAAATGAACAAAAACTTAACAAACTAGCTGCTAAGAATAAAAGGAAAACATAATGGGATATATGGCTCATATACTAGTGCTAGTAAGCGTATCAGTTTCTCAGAAAAAAACAGTTTTCTGGCCCTGAGTGGTGTGGGGAAGATGGTACCAGAAACTTTGTTTAAAAGGCTAAATGATGCATAATATCTGACATGCCAGTTTCACAGATACTCAGACTGTTCCACATGTTGGCTCTGAGCAAAAGCTCACAGAGCAGTATTTAAGCACAGTTGTACAATTAAACTTTACAGAGTGGATTTGTTTGAGACTTGTGGCCATTTGACCTAATACAAAGATAGAATTTTGAGAAATTTCAATAATAGTTAAACTGTTCGATAGACCACTGGTTTTCAAACCATTTTAAAGGTAGAACCCTTCAAACAGAAGCTTAGAAAATGCTGAGTGTATAAAACAGATAAACTGTTTAAAATTTGTCTAGTTAAAGATGGGAGTATTTTTGCTTCTCTCTTGAAGAGAATGATGTGAATGTGTATCTTAATTGCGAGACACCTACCTCTTTACAAGTGTGTGAAATAGTGGTATATTGAAGAAATTACAAGTTGATGAGTAAAGCCACAACTTAGGCCATTTATCAGTTAAGACAGTGGTTGACTATAAACAGGAAAACATGGCGAATAAACACATCAGCCCCACCCCGAGATAGGCAGTCCTCGGATGGGTATTGTCAACCACGGACCCGGACTCCTCCTAATTTTATATTGTGTCTTCTGAAGTCAGGGGCTTGTGATGCTCATGTGTGTATCTCGTGGCTGTAAGAGGGCTGATCCACCCACAGCCCTGTTTTCCAGCGAGGAAGGAGATGGGCGGGGGTGGCGGCACAAAACCTGCACGGGCCTTACTCTGACCCCTTTTAAAGAGCTTTTCCAGAAACCCCATCCGGAGATTTCCACTTACATCTCTTTCATCAGAACTGTGTGAATGGTAATTTCAGCTTCAAGGGAGGCCAGGAAAAAGTTTTTAGCTGAACATATATTGCCGTCATGAAGAAAATAGAGGTTATTAGTAAGGAAAAAGAAGAGAATGGGTAGGCAGTATCTGCTATGGCTAAGTGGAACAGAGGGACAGGAGGTCAAGCTGGGGAGTCGGCCAAGGTCAGATCATTTAGAACATCATGTGCCGTGCTTTGAAGTTTAGGCAGAATAATGTATTGATTAAACGCAAGGATGTTGTAACTGTAGGCCCTGAAATTGAATCTTGGCTTGTCCACTTATTAGCTATTCGAANCATACATGTTTGTGAAGTTAGTTTATTCAAACCACTATTAATATGCTTTTTGATATAAGGAAACGCTGCAAGTTGATTCAAAGAGGATTTGGTATGCTTAACAAACTTATTTCATAAATTGATATTTTTAATTATAATGTTTTTATTCCATATTTTATATTTCTGAAGAACATGTTCAAAACTTATTTCATATTTTTAAAAAGTATGTCTATAAGTTTGACTTATTTTAAGTATGTTTAATTCTTTTAAATAATCCCACTGTGTATCTAATACTATCAACATTTTTCTTCCTCTCATAGATAATGGAGTCTGGAGAACGGTTACCATCCTCAACAGCCTCTTCTACTATCCCAACTTCATCTTCTATACCTTCTGTGGCTTCATCGGTTTCAAAAGGCAGCCTTTCCACTGGAGCTGCTTCACTTAGCTCTACAATCAACCCATGTGGTAAATACTCTTTGCTAATTCGATTTTAGAATGCCAGCTCTTTACCAATTTGTGTTCATGGTGTTTTATTGAACTCTGAGTAAATTGTTCTCATTTACCTCATTGACCTGTTGAACAATGGCTAGGTCTCTACAAGTATCTAGTCTCTACTTTTTCTGGATATTATTAGCACACTGGGGTAGCACTGGTTATTCCAAGCTTTTCATGCTTATTAGAAGTCCTCTGTGCAAATTTAATATTAATGTCACCATTTCAATTATAAATTAATACATGCAAAGTCTTTGTAAAACTCCCATGAAGGAGTGAAGAAATACAAAGGAATCCTTGGTGGTAAGAGTAAAATACAAAAAAATCGTTACCTAAACCCTGTGCCCTAAATTTGCTTCCAGTGTTTGAAATGACCTTCTCCAAACTCTAAATACCTCAGTTCACAGATGTGTTATATACTATGGATCGTTTACTTGATGGAAAATATTTTAAGAGTTTAGAACATGACAAGTTTCTCTTAAACATGAACAATGTTTGTGTTGCTAAAGAAGAGAGCTTATTTCAGAAGTGAAAATAGTCTCAATTTGATTAATAATGTAGAAAGTATTTTAAATTACCCCCCAAAATCACTCTTTGCCCCAACACAGTTTTGGTAGAAAAGATCCTTTTTTTAAAACAACTAAATTTGACTAAGTCATTCCTTTATCACTAGGAAGATTTTTAGTTGTATAGACAATTTTATATGTTTGTAAGCAGTAGAACTAAATGATATTTCACTTTCAAAAATTAGATTTGTAATTTGGGGTAAGCGAAATGCATGAATATGGAATGTATGCTAACAAAATATTCTAGCAAATTTTCAAATATGTATTTTTTTAGTTTTTATTTTTTTTA